TCCTCTTTATTTTCTTACAATTCTGTTAGCTAAATTATTTCATTGGAATCTTTTCTTCAATAGAAGTTTCGGTATAAGTGAAGTTCAGAATCCGTACTTTTTTTATCAACTAAAAGAATTTTTGATCACAAGTCTATCAAACACACACAGAAAACACAACTATATAGCACGTTTTATGCTTCATATAATGGCAGGAAGACTGTATTTGTGGTACTAGCTCAATTTTTAAAACTGTTGATCAAACACAATAAAATTTTGTATGGGACCTCCTTTATAAATAGTAAAATGTGTATAGTCTAGAATATTTTATGTATTTACATTGATTAATATATTTTACCTTTATTAAATCTGCCATCTGCTGCAGGAAAAAAAAGTGTATTAATATACATGTGACCTTCATTAGTATTGGATTAACTTCCTTAACTGCATGGCAGATATTTTTGCCTTAGTGAGATACAATAAGCAGAATGATAGTTACAGGTAGGTGCTAATTGTAACAAATAACTTCACACTGAATTTCTGATGGTTTAGAAATAACAGGAAAACATTTTGTATCGTCCGCCTGTCTGTATGCCAGGAAGCCAAATGAACTTACGAAATTGAAGAGCGATATGGACCTGGGTGCAGATGGCTGTAAACTGGCTATGAATAAGTTGCATGTTTCTAACCATCAGAAAAATGAAATTCTGGAACAGGCATAAGCTAAGGGTGCAAAACAAAACAGTTTTTTAGATGAAGTGTAACAAAGTGATGGAAGATATGCCTGGAACATTCTGACCTGGTGAGATCAATGACATGGTGAACTATGTGTATGATGAAAGTTAATTAGATGTGATGTCATAGCCATGGACTGCGGATCCTTACAGGTCTGGGTTCAGTTGTAGCTAAGCAAACCAGTTCATCTTCAGGGATCTTAATAGAGTACTTGTACAGTTGGACATCATGTACTTAAAATCTAGTGGAATTTTGCTGGTAAATAATGTGTTCTTCATCTGTTTTTTAGTTAGCCTTGGGACCCTCACACTTGGAGGCATATGCTGTCCAAGTCTGAGTCTGTTAGGTCTCACCAGAATCTGAAAAGCAAGCATTTCTGCAGCCTCGTGCCTAGGCTTTAATTAACATAGTGGCTTGAACCAAATAGTTAATCCCAACTATTGTCTTGAGATTAATGGTGAGATGCCAGAGATGTCTGTCAGTCTTGAAAAAGCAGTGTGTCAGTGGGATGTCATTGTCCGAGTGTATGGGAGGGATTCACCTTGGGCTTGAGCCAAATAAGCAGTAAAGAGAAATAAAAGAGCCACCCTTTAGCTAACAGTGTGTGCAGCAGTTCTCAGTATAGGAGGTAGACTTGCCGCTGTTATTTCTCATTTACAAAGTACTAGCAATGTCTGTAGTGATCCCTCTTCTATTGAAAGTATGCTAAGTCAGTTACTACTTAGACTAGGTCAAAAAGAAATGGGAGAATTGTGTTCTCTTTTGGATATATGCCTGAGGAGAGGATTGGTTAGGTTTGAAATCACTGCCAGCTTAGATGCTGAAGTCTCTCATAGCTAAAGAATTTATAATCAGAAAACCAAAATGTTTGGTTTATCCAGCACTAGAAAGGAAATTTCAGGGCATGAAACTAAGATTATGCCTCAAACTGGAATGTGTGTGTGTCTACAACACTCAAAGCTGAAAACTTTGCAAGATGGAAGGGTGAAGTCAATGTGTTAGGCTTTGAATGCAAATTTCTAATGGCTGTGTGAGCCTGCATGACATTGGCTGTTACTTAGCAAAACTTTAAACTGTTTGCAAATCATTCTACCCCACATTTGCAGGATGAAGCTGAAGGTTGACAGGATTGGGTCTGCTCCTTTGAGGTGAAGTACTAGTTAGCTTGCAGTGGAGAGAAAGAAACAACTTGGAGATGGCTTCCAGGAATACAGGGTTCTTAGGTAGATTAGTTTTGCCTCCTCCTTTCTTGACAATTCCATAACTCTGAGGACTCAGGCAGATTGGGAAAGAGACCAGCAATATCCCTGAAACTGATCACCTGGCACTAGTGCTGGTGTTTGAACAACCCGTATCACTTTGACAGCTAAGAAATATAGTACAAGTGTAGAAGCCATTTTTTTTTTTTAGCTTCTCCCTCAATGCACCATACAGACCACTGATACCAGCCATGGTCCATGGTTTCAGAAGCTGCTGCTGAGATCCAATCACATAGTTCCAACCGTTCCAACGTATGTAAATTCTGGCTTGCTTTGGAAGTTTTTTATGCTTCATAGGCTGAGCAATCTTCACGATCATCTAAAAATCTGTTCTTCTTGCTGCATTATAGATTACTGGAACTTTTTGTATCTCAAAGATACAGGACTGACTAAGCTTTCTTGCCTAGCTCCAAAACTTGATCATTAGGAGTAAGAGTTTGGTGCTTTTTGTGCAACTGCAACTCCACCTACTCATTTATGAATGTTACTTGAAATCATCTGCAGTGCAAATGTGGAAATGCACAAGAATGTGAAGGCGAGAAGAAAATGGATTAATATTAACTGGATTTCTTCAAGAGAGCTTGCTGATAAATATGTGTGCTTTCTCCTATCTTACCTTTTTCTTTGAGTCCCTTAATATTTGGGAGTCTTTATTTTGGGGCATACTGCAGGAGAAGGTTCACAACATCCTTGTTGCTCTTGGTGTGGAGTATGAGATGAGACAAAGCATGTACATGCCTGTCCTGGACTCGGCTGGGATAGAGTTAAATTTCTTCCTAGTGCTGTGTTTTGGATTTAGTATGAGAAGAATGTTGATAACACACTGATGTTTTCAGTTGTTGCTAAGTTCCTTGTCAAGGCCAACTACCCTCCAGGAAGCTACCAAGCTAGACTGGGAGGAGGGAACAGAGCCGGGACAGCTAGCCCAGCTGGCCAACGGGGTGTTCTATACCATCATGCTCAGTATATGAACGGTAGGCGTGATCCAGGAAGTACTGATCGCTACTTGGTTATTGGTCAGCGTGGGTGGTGAGCAGTTGCATTGTGCATCACTCAATATGCGCCAAAAAGAACTGTCGTGGTTTAACCTGGCAGGCAACCAAATACCACGCAGCTGCTTGCTCACTCCCCCCCGCCCCCAAGTCGGGGGGGCCGGGAGAGAATCGGAAGGGTGAGGCGAGAGTGAAAAAAAAACCTCGTGGGTTGAGATAAAGATAGTTTAATAGGACAGAAAAGAGAAAATAGTGATAATAATAATATATACAAAATGAGTGATGCACAATGCAATTGCTCACCACCTGTGCTGACGGATAACCAAGTAGCGATCGGTACTTCCTGGATCACGCCTACCGTTCATATACTGAGCATATATATAGGGACAAGTACATCTCAAAAGAATTTTTCACTAGAAATAACCTGCTTTTCCAATATAGCTAAGAAACTTAAATCTTGATTCAATAAGATAAGAGAAAGCTATATTACTATGTTTTTCCAGCATGCCATTAAATCTAACTCGAGAGAATAATCCAACAGCATGATACTTCAGTTTGTATATGTGGGGTTTTTTTTCCCCGCATCCTATTTATAGCTAAGGTTTGTTTTGGAAAACGTCTGTAGTGCAGTTAAAAAAAGGAGTAGTTTCATTTTGCTCTAAGATTTTTGTGAGCACCTCCTTGCATTTTTTTTTTTTCAATTGATTGTCCTCATAAATTCTGCTTTTCAGCATTCCCAGGTTTGTGAGAGGCACAAAACATGTTCATGGTTCCAGTGTGCAGTGAAAACTCAGTTACTTCTTTCCTTTTCTTCTTGTTTTGGGACAGAAACCTAGGCATACATCCCTCATTAGCCTTTAAGAAGTGAATGTTTTCCTAATTGTACACTGATAGTCAGTAGATGGGCTAGCCATGGTAATTGCTTCTTACATTGCTGTTTATCTGGGGAAAAAATGAGTAGCAGTAAATGAGATAAATTTGTCTTTCTTGCTCTGAATAACTGACTGCTTTTACTAGATCAGTCCATCTTATTCCTTAGTTGCTTCATTCTGCCAGTCTTGTATTTTTACGCTATATGACAGGCTTAACACATTATTGTTTATTTCAGCTTGGCCTAATTACCTTAGGCCCGCATGAGACTGTTGTTCCTTCTGTTATTTTTTTGTGAAGACGGTCTTCCAAATGGCCAAAATTTCAGTCAAAAGAAACAGGGAATACTCTAGGCTTTTGAGACAAATTTTCCTTGTTTCATATGCAATGCCACTGTGAGGTCTGTAGACAGTAGAGATGGGTTGAATCTACAATTTTACCGCTTAACTTGCTGCGACCTGTGTCAGCTGCACATACCCCTTGGAAGATCTTTGTCTGACTGTATCTTACAGTGAAGAAAATTGTGCAGACTGTCACTTGAAATACCAAGGAATGATTACTTACCTTAAAGAAGCTACGGCTTGCTGAGCATGTTGTATGCACGGTTTTTGTACCTGCCATTCATTCTTGCTATGCTGGATTCCTTATGGATCAAAAGAACTCAGCTGGTCCAGCTGTCATGGAAGTCATTCTGACTCTTTCTTCCTCAGTGAAAATGAATTTGCTATTCCCGAGATACAGATTCAGCTGTAGGAAGCCATTATTTTTCAGAAAGAATCAAATATTTAATGTGTGTGGTGAATGCATAGGTAAGGTAGAAATCTATAAGGAGAACATATTTTGAGGGCGAAGAACTGTTCTTTTACAGCTTTTTTGAAAAGGACTAGATTTTAGTAGTGCCACTAAAAGCATTGTTCTATGAATAGAACTGCAAAGTTCTGCTGTAATTGTTAGTGTCCCAGCACTAGTTTGTGTAAAGGAAGCAGAATTTTGCTCTAGTGAATGGTTCCAAGTGAATGTTTTTTGTTAGACCCGTGGGAGTTCTTACCTAAGACATACCCAGATAACAGTTTCCAGTTCTTTCTTCTGGTTTGAATAGTGTCTGTAAAAACAGTGGGTTTTGAATGTGACTTTGAATATAGATAAAGATTTGTTCTTTCAATAGGCTGAAAATATTTTCAGAAGAAAGTGTTCCTCTATTTGGGCCTCCCCTTCCATCCCCACCTGTGTTTACAAATCATCAGGAATTCAGGGATTTTGTGTTAGTGAAATGTAAGTCAGTTTTTCTTTTGCTAGAAACACTTTTTTAATAAGTACTTTAATAAATTGAAATTTATGATGCTTAAAATGTAAACACATTTTCTTGTGTATGCTGCTGTTCTGTATAGAATTTTTTTCAAATCTGTAGCGTAGGTGGGATGTCAGTTCCATCAAACTGTTCCAGTCAGACTAATAAAAAACTTAACTTCTATGCAATGATGCTTTGCAGGCTACTAGATAAAAACTGACTTTTACATTTGCAGAATGTGCAGCCATGTTTAGCTTTGCATTTTCTTAAAGGACTTGGAGATCTAAAAGAATTTATAAAGCTGTTCGATATTTAGTAATGGAAGGCGTTAGGTTAGCAGCTCTGAAAACATAAGCTTTTCTGAATGCATGTTGCATAGGTGCCTTTCAGCACCTTTAAGAACTTTTTAATTCTGTAATGATTCAGTTCCAGTTTTCATTGACCTTTACTTGCCCTTCTAAATCAACGAGAAAGAAATCTTTGAGAACTGGTTGTGATGATTGCAATTAGATGCTTACCTGACAGGATCTTGACTAATAGCTCATTTCGCATATTTAAATTAATTTAGTACTTAAATTGATTAGCAGTTTGTCTTTAATTTTTTTATTAGTTAGGAGGTTATTGGGATGCCATGTTGAATTCTCCTATTACTAATTTTTCCCTTTTAAGCTTAAGGGATCATTATTCACTAAAAAACATGCAAAAAGGAGGCAACTCTAAATTACTAAGGGGAAGACAGGTAGTTTTGTACAGAGGCAAACTAGAGTCAGTGGAAGTTGTCAAAGTTCATTTAGGTAATGTCTCTTCTTTTCCATAATATTTTAGTAATAAATGGGGAAAAAGCCACTTTGGAAACCCCAACATTTTCTCAGAAACGTCAACGCACTCTAGACATGCTGATCCGTTCGTTGTACCAGGACCTGATGCCTGATCTACACAAGGTAAATATAAGTCAGAAGTCTCTGCATCCCTCACATGTGCTCTCCTGTTCTCACTAGTAGATTGAATGTTCTGTTGCTTTAAAATGTAATCTTAATGAGCACTGAATTGCATACACTAGGCTAAATACCATTTGTCATATAACTTGTTTTACAGTTGTATGAAAGTTGATCAGACAGTCCTTTCAGGATGGACTCTTCATACATTTGTTTAAATCGGGTGTGAGGAGAAGCATAACAATGTCATACTTTGTTTAAGCTTACCTGCAGCAAGGGAATAGGAAATTTAGGCTCTGCAAATATAGGTATTAGTCTCGTCAACGTAAAAACTGCACTTACTCATTCCATTATGTGTAAATTTGGACCATTTTTACCCTTGGGTAACAATGAGATAACTTCATTTTACATGATGACGACTTACTCTTATGGTGATTCTTAACTAACTAAAAAGAAGTTCAATACTTGTAAAATTAGTGAGGTGCTATTTTTTTCCTACTGTCTGTCTCTCTCAGCTAAATAGATCTGCTTAAACTTTTTTGTCCATATATTCATGTCTGCGATCTTTGTTATGATTGTATAGAACGTGACAGTAATAAACTATGACAAGTTGGAAAGTAAAGCACTCAAGGATTGGAAGAGTTGCAATTTCTGTTCTCTGAGAAGCTATACAGTTAGATTCATCACTACAGGAAAATATCCAAAAAAAGACAGAAAATTTAAATGATATCACATTGAGTTAATTCAGATTAAAAGATTATGAAAACTTTAGGTTCAGTTTAAAAAAGAAACATTTTCTGTTTTAGAACATGCTCAATAGAAGGTCCTTCAGTGATGTGTTACCAGAGTCCCCAAAATCAACACGGAAAAAAGAGGAAGCTCGGCAAGCAGAGTTTGTCCGACTTGGTCAGGTAGGATCAATTTAGGAGGAATGCACCTATGTTTACAAAGACTGCGTCACTCCTTTTGTTAGAATTTGATTAGCTTGTAGAGTTATGTCAGGACTTAATGCAGTTCTCCGTGATCAGAAATAGTTTTGTAGTATTGCATTAGTTCAAGCTACGTTAAGGTAAAATAGGAATAGAAGTATTTATAACACCCGCAGTACACAACACAATTACAAATATTTATATAATACATAAGCTAAAGGAAGGTTGGAAAAATCACACCTAGGATCAAACCTAAAAGGTCTTTCCCTGCTTCGTGCAGCAGATGCTTTCTGCCTCCAAGCAGAAGAGTGCTCTGTCTTTTTCTGTGCTTTGGAGAAACATAATCTTTCATGGATTTCCTCTATATGTTTTAAGATTGAATTTCTTAGAAATTATTTACCCTACTTTAGCCAGGAAGACGTTTCTACAGTCTTTCTGCTAAATCAGAGGTTGCTACATGTCTTTGAACGTACCAGACGCTGACTCCAATCTTCTATGGGCTTATTGACATTTTGATTCAGTGAGGAGTAAAACTTCCTGATGATTTAGATAGTCTGGTTTGATCTGACAGTTCATTGCATCAGTGTCTATGCTCATCAGTTCCCCTGTCCCTTCCCACTTGTCTCTTCTTGATCCTGGACTGGTGACGTGTTCTGCTACTTATCTTAAGAATACCTCTTTTCTGAGCTGATTTAACTCAGCAGGAGTTAACAGAGCAGAAAAACAAAACAGAAAAAAAGAAACAAAAAACCCCACACCACCAACAAAACCCAAGCCTCCTCCATTCCCTCCCATTTTTTTAATCTGATTTAAAGCTAAAGAGTGGAAGAGTCTGAGAAGTTCCAGATCCGGTTAAAGGTAGAGAATGGAGCCAGGTGATTGAGAGCTGGTGCAAAAGAATCTCAGGCCTGTTAAAGCTGGCAGGGCTGCAAAGTCTACTCTTCTGTGCTTTGCCCACCCTTTCCCCAACCTTGAAATAGCTAGTCACTCTAGGCTGGGGGGGGTGGGGCGGG